TGTGTGTGTGTGTGTGTGTGTGTGTGTGTGTGTGTGTGTGTGTGTGTGTGTGAGTGTGCGTGTGCGTGTGCGTGTGCGTGTGCGTGTGCGTGTGCGTGTGCGTGTGCGTGTGCGTGTGCGTGTGCGTGTGCGTGCGCGTGCGCGTGCGTGTGTGTGCGCGTAGACATGTATTTGCAAATCAATGCAATAAAATACTTACACAGCAGTGTAGTCAACTTTTTCATCGACAACAACCTCACAGATACCCGTCTCCTTGCAACACTGCTTTCCGGACAGTTCATGAACATGTCGTTTTCTCTGATTTATGTTGTCTTCTGCTGTATAGAGCATCAGACGAATTACAGCTGGTCCGTGATTCCATTTTGCAAGCTGGAAAACATAATTAGAAACTGCTTAATACTGATTTTATATATTAACTTTCTAATACTGTTGATGAGTGGTATATTCTTAAAACTGAAAACAATTCAGTGGTACCCTTACCTTTACTGTAGGAAAAACAGCTTTATTTTTGTCTGATCGATCTGCTTTCAGCTGTCCATGGGTGCCCACCATCTCACTCTTGTAGCGGAACCGGAATTTAGACTGTGGCTGCTCCAGTATTTGAATGAATGCCCCATCGTGGTGAACAGCTATGGATATACAAATCTCTTTTTATTGTGAGTGCTTTAAAAAATAATAATAATTTATATCTGAAATATAATCAAAGTGAAAAATAATAAAAATCATGACTATCCAAATGAAGACCACTGAGATAAAATATATCTAACCTTCATATGGGCGATTGTAGGCAGTCACTACTGTAGGCGGAGACGGTACTCCAGCTGAGTGGTCTGAGTATGGAGAAGCAGACTCTCCACTGTATGGGGAACTCATCCCACCTCTGTTGCATAAAAAAAATGCCACCATGAGTATATTTACGAGAAACTAAAATAAAGAAATAGTAGTTATATTACAAATGTGATATGCTTAATAATATGACAAATAATGATAATAATACAATAAAAATAATACTATCAATGATTTGTATCAAGCATAAATGATTATTCTGGTTTGGCATCATCAATTTGCCTGTGATCACGAAACAACGGTCTCATCATATCCTCTCCCTGGTGCCAGCAAATCAATTCAGTTTTCAATCCTAAAAGTCAAAGTCTAAATTTCTCCTGTTTGATCTTCTATCATTTTTATTCTTGATTCATCAACTGCTTTCTAATTGAACACAATTTATATACTGTCTCACTGTTGCCTGATATATGACATACATTTACCGCCTTTCTCTCTCATCTCAACTCATTGGAGCTCCATGGAGGTGTAACACCTTTAATTTGATAAAAAAATAACAACCTGGCACTTGAAACTAATAAAATTTATTAATCTGTGGCTTCCAACGGGATTTTATCTCAACTTTCTAATCTACCCACAACCACATTTTCTTTGTGATTTCACCCGTTAGCAAAGATGAATATGCCAAATTTCAGTAGCAGCAGACTATTCATGTATATTATATCTCAGAACAAAAATGAGGATTATATCTTGAATTCAAGTGGCACTGCATCAAGATCAATTAATTCTGGTGAGCAAAAACTACATTGCCTTTTCTAAATTATGTTTAAATCCATAACAATTATGATGTCTATGAAAATTAATGCAGTCAAATAAAATAATATCACAAAACAGAAAGACTAGTATGATACATATCCTTAAATTAAATGATAAAAAAAAGTAAATTAACAGCCTCTGAATATAAACTATTTGTGTACATCAACAAAACTGACCACCAGTCATGCACATGATTTTCACATTCTTAGTCATTGATGAAGCATTAAATGCCTCACACAGCTTTGAGGCAACATAGGCCTACAAACAACTTCAGTATTCCACTCCACACCTGTTGATATGCTGTGACATTTGGTTCTGGCAGCTCACTATATGCTCTCTCCCTGCTACCAAATTTTCTTTTCAGGGCAACAAGTTCACTCGTATTATTCTTTTGCGTTTCACAGAATATCTATCGACACACTCAGGGATATGTAATTCTCTGCTGCCCTGTGGAAGGTTTCTTGGATAAGAATGGAAGCACAGGTCGGCAAGTCACAACGATATCACGTCAAGTAAACCCCATAACACACCTATCTACCCTTAGAGATTATAGGGAAATGCAAAAGGGTGTCTGTACGTGTTGGTGCACAGCGAGGGCGTGCAAGTGCAGTGTTGTGTGGCAACGTCAGTCAGCACTTGCTCGCTCCTCCCGGGCTGGGGCGGCCTTGAACACTTCGCTCCACAAACACACGCTTACACTCAAGCTCTGCATCGCCTGTAGAATTCCTAGCCCTTTGCGGCCCCAAACCCTTACCGAAACGTGTGTTCTCCAGCCCTGACAGCGTGAAAATCCCTCGCGAGGACAGCCTTCAGGGCCTCCCACTTCAGCGCCTGGGAAATCCCCAAATCGAGTTCCAATACTATTTTCTGAGTTGCGGGCGGGTTCTTCACAAATTATCTATTTGGTAATTAATCACGGCTTCGATATCACTCTAAAATTGCTTTTATGTACGCATGTGTTAGCACTCTCAATCATATACATTTAGATAAAGCAGACGCAGTAGGAAAACTCTGCCTCCCGCATGCCACGGGTATACATTAATTCATCACACAACACAAAAGTTTCCATGCCAAATAAAAAAAAAAACACTTACATAAAATAATTATCGCAAAACATATTTCCGTCCTAAACGCAAAGTGTTTCTCAAAGGGCCTCTCCCTGTACTCTAAAGTCTGCGAGAAGTGAATGGCGACTTTATAGAAGCGTTGAGAGCTCTCGCCTCTTCGGGTAATCCCCACAATGGAAGCCCCGAAGACAGCGTCTCAGGCTGCTTCTTCGGACAGCGATTCACCCAACAGGATATGGAGGGGATTTTTCATACAGGGGAGCCTTTACTGGTACGGGCTTAGGTATTTCATCCCGTGCCTCTTCTCGTACAATGATTATGCATGGGCATTGGGCATTGTGTCCTGGCTTTGTGTTCGGGTACATATTTGGCAATGTTTAGGAAGTAGTAACTATTGTTCATTACAAAATGAAAAGCTTTAGTCAATTGGGTCGTTGAACAACATTCTTGTATGGTTTTCTGTTCATCAATGCACGTATATCTAAATATTCATAGCTATGTTCCCTTCATTTATTTTCTTACCTATTTATTTTGTGAGTTACTGGAAAGTTATGTTCATAGTAGCAATATAATTGAAATGAACTTTTCCATCAACATTTGTGTATCAAGACACTCTTTGTGCAGAGGTTGACGAGCATACGCAACTCGCATGGTTCATTGCACTGAAGGTTCTCGCAGCGGGTAATGTGCGAATACCACAGATGCCACGGACTAGTAAATAAACTCACGGAGAAAAGTGGTAAATCCACAACAGTTAATTACAGATGTTTCTCGAGGAAGAGGTGTCAAATCTTCCTCTGGCTTTGGAAGTTTTCAGAAAACTACCCAGACAAATTTCTAAGAATTGCAGGTTCTTCCAGAGGAAGATTAGACTTCACCTCTTCAGCCTAACACTAGCAAAAGTACAGGCAAGACAAGCTCAAAGCCGAGAATGCTGCGCCTTAATAAATGATATAGAATAAGTATTTTAACGGAAATATATGTATACAAATTTAGTAACGTCTGTAATATATAGAACTTCATTGAAAAAATAACTACCCCTGGCTACACTATGGCCATAAATTGTTTTGTTACGTTTTTTCATGGAATACCTTTGTTTTCTTTTCGCTTGTATTCCATAATAAGAATCAGTACTTACTACGTAAGTAATGTGCTAAAATACATTTACAATTAAAAGCATTTTCAAATTCCTACAGTACAGTGATTACGCTTTTTCTACTTTTTCTTCGTGTTCACTAGATATCTTCAATCAGAAATTTTTGAGAAGCAAAGATAATGCGTTTTATCTGATATGTCCGGAAATACGAGCGGCAACAACACCAGCATATATATACATATGTACATGCATGCATACATACATACATACATACAAACATACATACATACAAACATAGATACACACACACACACACACACACACACACACACACACACACACACACACACACACACACACACACACACACACACATATATATATATATATATATATATATATTCAACCAGAGTGTTTACATAAATATTTGCAACTCTGTCGTTAAATGAATCGCATACATCAATTGGTACGGCATATCCTCCAAGCATCTTTTGACCGTACTGTGAGTTTTCTAAATCGTAAAAAAAGTTCGCGTATTTCATCTGGTCTTCAGATGTAAATTCCTACTTGGTAACTCTGTCATATAATGTTCAAGGTTCTCAGTTTTTTTCTTGCTTCTTTCTCCCTTTTTATGGAATCCAATGACGTCACAAAGAGCACTTCTGAATATATTTATATATGGAAGGATTTAGTATTTTTAATGTTAGGTTGTCTAAACTGTCTTAGTTTTATGTACTAATCTCTTTGTCAGAAAATAAGATGGTGAAGTGGTACTTGTAAATTACTGTAGTGACGTCACATGTATAGTAGAATATAATTAATTTCATAGGAATGTTGTCAATAACTGAAAAAGATCATCCCTAAATCTTGCGTTATTCATTTTACTAGATTTGCAGTTAAAACAGCTGAGAAAAAATCGCCAATAATCGTATCAATATTAACTGTTGAACTGAAAATAACTAATCAATGGTATTAATGAACACCTGTAACATCTTATGTAATGGCAGCACAGTTATATTCCTCATGCAAGGGACAGTAGGTTTATAATGTATATATGGTAATAGTAGCCAGTTGCAGAAACAGTTGTAGAGTTGCAGAAGTAATGATAAAAAGAAATATAATAACGGGGTAACCATAATAATAATGGCGATACGGATAATTGTGATAGTAACTGTTCTTGTTATTGGAATTATTACTAACATCATTTATCATCTTCCCTGTTATCGCCATCAACTAAGCTCTCAAGGATTCATTTTACCTTGATACCGATACCTCAACCCCTACCTCGGGAGTGAAAGAAAAAAAGAAAGGTATTATTATGCATTCGGGTGTGCATTAATTATAATTAATTATAATAATAATGATGGTAATAATAACAATATCATTATTATTACTATTAATACCACGATCATCGTTATCATTATCATTATTATTATTATCCTTATTAATATTATTATTTTTATTATCATCATCATCATTGTTACCATTATTATCATTATTGTCATTGTTGTTGTTGTTATTATCATCATCACTCATATTACTATTAAAATCATCATAGTGTTGTTGTTATCGCATAATCACATCATCATCGTCATCATCATCATCATTATCATCACCACTAATGTTATTATTATTATCATTATTATTATTATTAGCAGTAGTAGTAGTAGTAGTAGTAGTAGTAGTAGTAGTATTGTTGTTGTTACCCTTATCATTATGAGTATCATTATAAAATGATAATACAAAAAATCTGTACAAAAGTTCGAGCACCAATGACACGCAGCCGTATAATCTCGCTCAAAATCTTACAAGGAAATCCTGGATGGTAGCCAAAAGTTACAACACAATCTCCGTTATTTACGAGTTATTTGTGAATCAGCAACATGCCATGTTGGTGCTTAGGAACAGTCAAATTCGCATGGCGCAGCTGGTATTAGACTGGTCGACGCGGTGCAATAACCGATTCGCATAAAGGTAAAAACAAATGACGTCGAAACACTCTACCTGCGCCTTCCACCAGTTTAGGTGAAAGTTGCAAGCGGAGGTACACTTGAGGGATATAACCTGGTATCCAGAAAGAAAAAGCTATAGCTTGACATCATTTTGCCATAGATGAGGCCGGAATATAAATAATGACTAGTAAAATCTCTACAGGCATCGATAACCGTTTAGCCACACGGCTGTAGACAACTTAGGGATTACATCAAGCATAGTTTTCAAAACCGCGAATGAAGTTAGGTGCTCCCCGTTCCGTCTTAGCTTTGGTGACAATGCTCATATGCACTCAGAATGACCTTCAAAATCCCGAATGACGCAACCAGAGCGAACCTCGTCGGCCTCTGATTATGGATGTGAATGGCATGTGGATTGGCAATGGCGTCCATTTCATTTACTTTTTTCCTTTTTATCTCGTCCGCAAAGGGATATGATGTGCACCACTGGCTCATCCACGTGTTTATATTGTTATCTTAAAGAATAAAAATATCAAGTGGACTGATATAGTGCAATGGATCTCCCTGCAATACAATTCACTGTTCTAATATGATTCTACTTGTGGTGCATTTGCAAGGGTTATCTAAAGATTATCACTTATCTTTTTTCACATGTGGCTTTTGACTGGAATAATGATGATGATCATAATAATGATGGTAATAACAGTAGTAGTAATGATGATAATATTTATGATAATGATAATAAATATAATAATGATAATGATAGTCATGTAGATGCAAAACACGGCGGATGAGAAGCGCCTTCGTGTACAAATCCTCTCCATCCAGACGATGCTGCGCTCTCTGCTGACATCGCGATCCATGACGTAACTGGAACCGGGGAATTCCCTTCCGTGTGTTTGTGTGTGTGTGTGTGTGTGTCGATCTAAAGGGAAACTATTCTATTTAGGGCACACGGACGAAGTGTGACCTCTGCCCTTTGTCGAAGTGTGAAGATAACTGTGACGTCACGCTCGATCTTACTGATTCTGAACTGCCTTCCCGATATTAACGAGTCCTACTACTTCCTTCTAGTCCCTTCTTACACGGATGACTGGTCTGGCAACGGTGTTTTCTATGGTTACCGTTTCATATCCCGGATATAAAGTCAAACAAAGCATACGTAATAACAGGCGAATTAATTATTGGTAGAATGGGGATGAAGAGAAAGACACAGAGAAAGAGTGAAAGAGAGAGAGAGAGAGAGAGAGAGAGAGAGAGAGAGAGAGAGAGAGAGAGAGAGAGAGAGAGAGAGAGAGAGAGAGAGAGAGAGAGAGAGAGGAAGGGAGAGGAAGGGAGAGGAAGGGAGAGGGAGAGAGAGAGAGAGAGAAAGAGAGAGAGAGAGAGAGA